CCCCCCCCCCAAAAAAAAACCCCAACAACAAACCAAAACAAACAAACAAACAAACAAACCCTCTAAGCAAGTCTTTGCACCCTGAATAGCTGCTTCAAGTTTTGTTCACAACTTGATTTCAATAGAAATGTGACCATTTTTATTGCTGGTAGCAAATAGAGGACACAAATCCTACCACACACCAACACATTGCGTTTAAAAGGCAGAGGGAGGGAGGGTGCCTGGAGGAAAGAATAGATCCTAAATAGCAAATTCTACAGCTACAAGAGAGAGAGAGAGACAGCCAACAAAATGGGGTACTTAAAACCAAAAGCCACACCCATCAAATTAAAGAGTTTGTTTTAATTCTCCACTTGATACCATCAGCCTTTTCCTTTACATAATTGAGCACTGTGTGGAATAGGAAGCAAGCCACAGGAAAATCTATTTTAAAAGTAGTCCATAACAGTGGTTTTTTTCCCCAGAAATTACCCGTTCTGAAAAGCCTTTCTGGTACCTTCCTCGAGACAGGAAACATTCAAAGCCATTCTTTTGCAAACCACTAAAATCCCCTCCTAGAGGGAGCCAACAGGTCATGCTGTTGACAATCTGGTGTCTGACACACCCCAGTCTGCTTCTCAGATTGTCCCACAGCTTTGAAATTCAGTCTAGCAAGGCATCTCACTTACATTATACTCCATTATAAAACTCCTAATGAGGTATAAAGCAAGAGACAGCAGAAAGACATTTACAATACCATTTTAAACCAAACTCCTCTCTCCAATTCACCACCCTTTGCTCACACATTTTTGCTCTACTGCTAAAATTCATTAAAAGGCATCGGACCCCACTGAAACCTTCTTCCCCATAAAATCCTGAACCACACAAACAACAGATCTGAAGGAGAGAAACCAATATGGTTGAAGATTAAAAAGATTAAACTCTCCATTAACCAGGGAACAAGGGTACACTACAAGAAAGAAAAAAAAGTGACACACAAAAACACAATAACTGTCTGTCTGCACCTTTCGCTCAGACAACAGTCTACAACCAGGCACAAAGGGCTAGTGGAGACTGCAAGAAACCCATAGCTTATGTTTAAATGAGACGGTGGGAAGCTGATAGCTGTCAGTAATACTGCAGGAAGCATATAAAGGAAAGAAACCCTGCTTGGATGATTTACTATTGAGCAGTCAAATTATAGATACTTTTTTTTTTTTTAAACCATGGTGCTCACACCAAAGAGCACCCTGACCATTTGAATTTTTAGTTAGCTGAGTGAAGGGACATCACAAGAATGAACTGATTTTGCAGTCTGCCTTTGAAATAATATGGCAAGATTATATTTTAAGATGATGTTGAAAAGCAATGTTTTAAGGCAAATGTGCAAGATATTCACAGAATCCACAGCCTTCACGTAGGAGCACAAGTCCTTTTTCTTTAAGCCAGGCCTTAAACCTGATTCAGATGAAAAAAAAAAAAAAAAGGAAAGGGGTAGCTTACCTGCATGAAGCACGGCCTCCCATTGCTAAAGGTACCCCTGAAGGTAGACCAACAGTTTTTGAAAGAGCCATTAAAAAAAATCCTAGCAGATTGTTCAGAAAGCAGAAGCGCACACAGTGTAGGAGGAGAACTGGCTCTTGAACGCAGCAAAGCTTTGTGCAAGAGTGAGGGAGATAAGGGATTTGCCTCCACCACCTAGCTGCAGATGCATAGCACTGCATTGCAGGTAAAGGGCCTTGCAGCATCACTGAGGGGGTTGCTCTCAGCTGATCTTTCTGCAATTTTAGGCATCCTCACGGTTGAGCATAAAAAGATGCTTCACATTCCCTTGATGTTCACTTATTTCTACAGTTCTCCCCCAAGGAAATGCTGAAATCAGTTGGATTTTCCCTTTCATCTTCCTGAACGGAAAATGCAACTCTTGATTTCATTTGCCTGTTTAAACAGATCATTAGATTTACAGCCTCCAAAAACATGAGTCTCTCGGTAACTGCTGATAATCCAATCCATTTGCTGTAGCAACTATTTGTCATACAGTAGAAAACATGTTCAAAGTAAGATTTGAAATAACTTCAGGAAGTGCTTCTAACCAACCAAGATAGCAAAAATAACTCATTTTTATACTAAAAACCTCAGACACCGAATGGGTAAAAGGTCCATTAAACCTTAAAATAAATAACTGAATGTAACTTTATAGCCTCAGGGGTTCAGCATTTTTTGGATGCCATAAAAGTATTTCTGGCACATTTTACTTTACTGCTTTATGCAACTGAGAAGGGAAACAAACAAGCAAGTGTGACAGTGCACAATTGTTCAGAGACCTCAAGCAATTAAGAATACTTACTGATAGAAATATTGAGAACTAGACTGTGCGAATCAGATCCTACAGTTCTTTCTTAGGCACACCTAAATTATGGGAGATCTCCTTCCAGAAGGGATGATGTCAAGCATGTAATCCCTCAATATGCAACTTAAAATGAAACATAATATCACCCACTTCAAACTCAAACCCTAATGAATTCAACACTGCATTGTTATTATTTCAAGTAAGTTACCAAAGCCAGCAAGCAACCTTTGTAAGTTAGAAAAAAAAGTGGAAGTCACACTGCTATATTTTCATACAACTGCCAATAATTTGAAGGGTGTTTACTGAATATACCAAACAACTGTTAGCCTCTGCTACTCCTGGCTGAAGGCAGTATCCAATATCCAACATCTCCAAGTCTTAAGTTTCTCAAAGAGTTCAGCTTTGAGCATTCAGGCTCATCAGTCTGATAAGAAGAGATGCACGGGAAATCTTTCCCTAGTCCCCATAACACTGCTTCACTGTCCTAACTGGAGAGGTGAAGATAGCCTTCCGAAACTTCTGTAGAGATTCTTTTCTTAGTCTTCTACTGCTATCAACAGATGGACAACAAGTGAAGATGTTAACACAATCTTACTTGCCTAGCTCTTCTACCCAGCAGTGGGGATGCAGCAGAGCTAGGACACTGGCTGTTGTGCAGAAATAGTCAGCCTTGGCAACCCAAGTGGATTCAATTCCTCTTTATTTCATTATCCCATCTAAAAGATCCTTTTCTGCAGCCACCACTGTTTATTCTAGCTCCATAAACAGCTAGAGGCATTTAAGACAGCTAATTAAAGGGGACCGGTGTCTTTTTGCATGGCTCATGAGACAATTCTTAGCTGGATTTCTGGTATTTAAGAGGGGCTGGAAGAGGAATCTAACATCTGGTGTTAGTATGTTCATTTTCAATTTGGGCACAAAAATGTACCCATCCTACCATTAAAATGGGCATGGAGGTATTGAAACCAGAGTGCCTTATCCCCAGAGAAATCACTGCATTGATACTAAAAGTCAAATAATCTGTCCTCCTCTTCCCCCCTTACCCCACATTGTCCTTCTTAATTACTCACTTTCCTAATGATTCCAGTCTACATGGTAAGGCTTACATGGATTGGTGCTACAAATTCATTCCAAGATCCTTCCAAAAGGTGATGTTGATTTCCACCTTAATCACTCTCTGAATATTTTCCTTTATTATTATGTACATCCATCACAGAAAAATGTTATAAAGTCTTCTTGCCTCTATTCACATTGATATGTCAAGTTAAAAGTCTGTTCAGACTCAATCTTAGAAGGCTTTTCTTAAAGAGTAACTGCAATATTGAGATCAGTATCAAGACTGGCTCCTGTTATTGCCAGTCTGCAAACCATTTAAACCAGGATTTGTCAGGAAGTTGTCAGGTTTGTATGAAGTTTCATGCTTGAATTCAGCATTGTACAAACCTACAGAAAAGTTTTACAAAGGATTTCTGGATGGAGTCCACATGAACCCTCATGCCAAAGTATTTCATTGTGTGTTATTTTCCTATTTTTGAATGTTGTCATTTCTATGTTTGTCACTAGTACTACCCCACCACGGGTAGTGAGCTGAGACCTTTAAATGCTTCCCCGTCGCTACAGCCTATTGCTAGATGATTGATACATTTGTCAATTCTTTCAAATCTGAAGGGGCTGAAGGCTCACTATTTTCTACCTTGTGGAAAAAAGATGTACTTACCTGTAATTCTTGCTCTTAAGTATTTTGTAATTATAGGCAACTCCCCCTCCTCCACAGAGCTGAGCTAAATTTTTATTCCATCTCCTTTCTGTTCTAAAGAATTGACAGCGACAACCAACTAAAGCTGACAACTGCTGCTGTAAATTAAATTCAGAAAAATAAAGCTATGGGATCTCTACTGTTGGGAACAGAGTCCAGGGGTGGGAAGATAGTTTAATACTAGGGCTGTGCCAAATGGCCATGTTTTGATTTGGATTTGGCTGTTTCAGAGGACAGCAATTCATTTTGGTGTTTCGGATCACTGTCCTGTTTCATTTCTGCCAAGACTCCTCCAAATCCATTTCGAACGGGGTGCAAGCTTTGCACAGTCCTACCATGCAGCAGGGCGGGGCTTGGGGCCAGGGCCCCAGCAGGGAGCAGACTGAGGCCATGGGTAGCTCATCCGGAGGAGGGCCACTGCCCTCCGTGGGGGAAAGAGACCCCCCTTGCAAGGATCTCTGATCCCTGTCACGCCAAGTTGCGGGGCAGGGAAGCAGCGCAGAGTAGTGAGCAAGCCTGCTGGTCCCTGCCATGTGACCTGGCTCCACAGGGAGCAGAGATCTGCATTGGGAGTCTCATCACCACCACTGCCCGCCCCATGCTGCCCCAGATCTCTGCTCCCTGCACAGCCAGGTCGCGCAGCAGAGACCAGCACTGCCTTGCTGCGCAACATAGCTGCGAAGGGAGCAGAGATCCGCACCAGGGGTCTCCTTGCTGCCTGCCCTGTGCAGTCCCCTGTCACTGCAGTGTACAGCTGTTTCCCTGCAAGCCCGGGGCCAAAACGTTTCGGATGCCTTGTTTTGGAGATGTTTCATAGCCCTCCATTTCAATTCGGATTTGGTGTTTCAGGCGCTGAAACTGCTTGAAACTCCTCCAACATGAAACGGCTGCCAAAATTCTGCACAGCACCATTTAATACTTAGTTTTTGAAAGACATACACTTATAGAAGCCAACACAAAGTACTTTAGCAGGAGGTCAGTTTGAAGACAAGTGCAACTGAATCCCACTTTAAAATGGTGCTAGTATCCAAATAAAATGAGGTGATTTGAACTTTCTCTTGTTCTACACACCCACTCTCCCCCACGAAGAGAATGTAACAGGTCTGTCTCTCTGCAGAGATGTTCTTTACATAAGCTGCTAGCTGCAAGAGACTGTCTTGGAAACCAAAACAGCTTAATATAACATGTCATGCTGCAGTTTGATAATCATTTTTATACTTGAAAAAAGTATGGTGGACAAGTCCCCACATTCTGATTGCACTTTAAACATGTGCTTAGAAAAAGATTCTGTATTGAGTGGTATTAACTGAAAAGGGGAAAACCAAGAAAAGGGCTTGATGCAAAGCAGAGCTTTCATGAATAAAGCTGAAGAAAAACAGGTATCATTTATCTACTTCCTTTGGAATGAGACACATGATAGCAAAGAAGCATTGGGAGACTAATTACAGATGGCATTATCAGTGCAGCCTAGATGAACATATCCATGATTCTCAAAAGCCAAGGTGTCATAGCACCCTGGGGTGACTTGAGATCCTTTCAAGGGTGCCGCAGGGTGCCACACAACATTAGCGCTGTTAAGTTTACAAACACGATGTACAAGATCAACCTAGCAATTTCAAAAAGAAACCCACAGCGGTAGCCTTTCTGAGTTCTGTGCAACACAGAAACTGCACTGTTAGCTTTCTGTAGTCAAAAAAAGAAAAAAAGAAGAAATTAAAATCTGGCATCTTCCAAGGAGTGCCTCAAATCTAAAAAGGTTAAGAACCACTGGTCTAACTCGAAACAAATTTAAATTTATGTTTGGATTAGACCGTGCAATGGCTGAAGAAGTTTTATTGGATTGCAGATGCCAACTGCAAACTAATTGAATTTTCCCACGGTGACTGGCTCTGAAATTTCAAAAGCCTCTGAAGAATCACTTATTTAAAATGAAAATGTCTGGCAAATTGCAGCAGCTTTCAGAACAACAAAAAAGAGTCTGGGCACATTCGGAACGATTAAGATACTGGCAATGAACACACTCATCTGAAGATCTAAAGAAGCTTGAAGTATGAACACATTCAGTACAACTCCCTCCCTTTTACAAGTGGGGTAAATCGAAGCCAGAATAAGCTAGCAGAAGTAAGTTGAGAGTGAAGTTCTGCTCCTGACAGCATCCTGGAAGGGCCAGGACATGGGGGTGGATCTGCCATATCAAAAGGTAGCTTTTAATCCAAATACCGCATTAGTCTTTAGTCAGGCTAAATCTCTCTGCAGCTATACCATTCTTTTGTTCTATGTCTGTACACAGCTTAGTGCAAGGTAGCTCTGACCCACAATTGCAGCTAGAGGCTTCTGAGGTACAAATAAGCCAAGGTTTCCCATGACTGGCAATTCTGAGACTTTTGGAAATCAGACTTCTTTAAAAATACGCTAAGCACCCACAGGTCGGCGTT